AAATGACTAATAATTGGTTATATATTTGATGCGTGATTTATTTACACTTTAAACTGCTATATAATGTATAAGAGAGTACTAAACCAGATATTATTGATTAGTTGAAGCGCTGTAACAAATGTGCAATTTTTGGTTATAAATCCCTTTATTTCAATGATTCATATATTGTACACATTTTCTATACAACAAACACAACATCAATTGCTGTTGCAATTAGTATTAAATGGTTTTATTAATTAGATATTTGTTATATTATTACCTAAACTATCGATTTAAGGCATTGGTATTTAAATACTGATCTAATTTTAAATACATTTTTTATTGTATATATAATTTCTTAAAATTGTTGCCTCAGTCGATAAATTAGAGTTTTATTATAATTATTGGCATTTATTATAATTATTATTATTATTATTATTGATTAATATTTAATTTAAAAAGAGATTTAACAGAAAATCATTAATGAAATTGCACTTTGAATTTGTTTAATTGTAAAATATTTTGGTACCAATCAATCAAATGACTTATATTTCATGTCATAAATTGTCATCTCTTTTATTAAACACTATATATATATATAAATATATACATAAATATATAATATATATATAATTATATAATAAGTTGGTCTATAATTCAATGTAAAGCATAGCATCGTTCATGACTTACCAATTGATTAAATTAATAATTTTAATTAAATTCACACGAATTCACTCATTTCTCCCTCACTTTGCGGTCAGTTATGCATCCAATGGTACACCAACTCATCGCATACTCCACGCAAACTTACCTTTCATATAGACTTCTACCCACAAAAATTGAGCCAAAATCTTGGGACAGTATTCAATACATTGTATTTGTAGTCATTTAAATGAACTATCAATTCAATGATCGCATGACAAGTAATGATTTAATTGTCACAAATGAGTGCCAAATCTAAATCATTTTATTAAATATTAAATTATACTTCAACTCAATACTACATTAAATGGCAATTAGAGGCATATTTGACTCGAAAGCAATGCCATTATATTTGAAACATAAATCTAAACATAACTATAATTATAATCAATTGGTTGGAAGCGATGGTCTCTTTAGTCATCGGGAAAGGGATTGTCGTAAAGACCAAGACTTATGAGTCGCTTCTCTTCCTTCTCGACGTCATAATTCCTGTCAACAAATGGACATTCAGTGAGACAATGACAGACATCACCACATGGACCACATGTGGACATACTTATAGAACTCAGCATATCTTCGTTTGCGTGGTTCGGCCACTAAGTACTTCCAGGCGATGGCACCCGCGAAGGACAGTCCGATGGCCGCAAACAGATGTCTTCGCACATACCGTTGGGCGTGACCGCGAAGTACGGGCTTTGGGATCCTTCCCGCGACCGCTGTGTTGGCCATTGTCTCCAATTGTCTCCAATTCACACCACAATCGCAACTAATATGAAGTCAAGTCTTGTAATCAGTTTTGTTATCACTTCTCAACAAATATTTCTTTCTATCGTTTCTCTCGAGTAGTGTTTCATTGAGGCCTCAAATTCTGTGCCTTTTTCTCGCTTTTCTCTCTAAATTGACACCTTTTCTAACACTAATCATTCACTCCATTCACAAACACTGTTCACACGATTCACATTCATCTCTATCTCAACCCTTATTTGTCATTTCATTTTCAACAATCTTAGTCTACCTTGCTACTATACAGTATTACCAATTAACAAGATAAATAACTACTATACCCATTTTAGATTCAAATCCAATAAATCACATATCAGGGTCAAGCATTTTAGACCAAACTATACTTTTTATGATCATTATCTTAATAGTTATCGATTAATTAAAAGTTTACCGTTAATACTGTATAATACCGTACAGTGTATTTCTTAGCAATAATTGCAACAATAATTGTTTAGTTTAATATTTTAGTAATCATGTATCATATTTTTAGTTATTTATTAAGATTGTGTTCAGTTATCTTATTGTATTTCATTCAATAGACTCTATTGAACACAAAT